ATTAACCAGTCTAAGTATTTTAAATATTTGCAAGTAATTAGCCTGCTGTGTGAATGGCTTGAATAGTCATTAAAGTGGAATGTCACTTTTTTTTTAATTGGAAATATTCTATTTTTGTTGAGCTCTCCTTCCCTTGTAGGTCAAAAATTATAGTTCCCACGGCCTTTGTTGAGTTGGCTCTTTGACTTGATCCACACATCTAAGCCATAGGCATGAGCTTGAGAGTGGTGCTATTAAAGAGAGGACCTGCTAGGTCTGGGCAGATCTGAACTCTTTTCTAAGGTCACACATTGCAACCCCTAAACCTCATCGGTAGTATGTTAGCTGTTTCAAGGGGATCAGACGAATGTGTTCAGATCCTTTACTAATCTTGGAAACGCGAGAACACAGGGCACTGCTGTCCAGTGTTGCGAGCAAGGGCGCGCTCCCCAAAGGAGTCACTCACACACATTTGTGTCTTTCCACAATGCCAGGCTTTTTAGGAGAGACCTCCGCAATAAGCCAATAGAGTCACACACATTTTACACACAGAGGGGGAGATGACGCGATAGAAGCAAGCAGAACACATGTCCTGTGTGAAGTCCTAGGGCAGTTCTGCCGTCTGCAAGGAGAGAGATGTTGTTGGTCTCAAGCCAGATGGCTGCAGTGGCAGCACACGTCTGGTGGAGTGGAAGTCTGGCAGGGCTCCAGGGGTGGCCCTTGGTACAGCCACACTCACGTGTTGGGTGGTCAGAGCTCTGAGTTCCTAGAGCTCACCAATAGGGGGCCCTGCTTGTGTTGGTGTCCGTATGGAGTCCTTATCCAAGCGTGCAGACTTGTGGTTTGGGCACTCTCAGGACATTCCCATTACGCCCCATAACCTCAGTCTTGACATAGCTCTTGACAGAACTGTCATGGCTGACAGTGACTCCATATTGGATTGTCAAAGATGTGCAAAAAGCTCACTCTGCTCTTGGTCTATACATCCAGGTAGCACCCAACCTTTCACAAGGGCAGTGCATTCACATAAATATTCAACTCTCTCCTTATGCTCTGGTGGAAATAGCCATAGATGAGTCAGGTGAACAGAGTTGAAGTCCTGGGATATGGGAATTAAAAAACAAAACAAAACAGGTCCACATATACTACCTAAACAGTTTTGTGACTTGAGCAGTTTTATTTAACTTCTCTGGATTTGTTTAGTATTTTTTTAATAGCCTTATTGAGATACGATTCACATACCATATAATTCACTCATGTAAAGTATACAGTTCATTGGCTCTCAGTATTCTCAGAGTTGTCCATCCATCGCCACAGTTGATTTTGGAACATTTTCATTACCCTCAAAAGAAACTCTATACCTAGCTGTCACTTACCAGTCGCCTCATTCCCTCTGGCCTGAGGCAGTCACTAATCTATTTATAAATTTGCATATTCTGGACATTTCACATAAATGGAATGGTACAGTATGTAGTCTTTTGTGACTGGCTTCTTTCACTTAGCATAGTATTTTCAAAGTTCATCAGTATTTAACATGTATTAATACTTCATTCCTTTTTATTGCCAAATAATACTCCACTCTATGGATATACTACATTTAATTTATTAATTCACCAGTTGATGGACATTTAACCTGTTTCCACTTTTTGGCTATTGTGAATAATGCTGCTCTGAGGGTTGGTGTACAAGTTCGTCTGTGGACCTGTGTTTTCATTCCTCTTGGGTATATACTGAAGAGTGAAATTGAAGGCTATTCTGGGTGCCATGAATCGCCATGTGAATTTTATGATTAGCTTGTCAAATTCTGCAAAAAAAAAAAAAATCAGTAGAAATTTTGATAGGGGTTGTGTTGAATCTGTATGTTAACTTGGGGGAACACTGTTTTGTAGTGTTCAGAGTATACTTTTTTTTATTTCTTTGGTTAAATTTATTCCTAAGCATATTATTCTTTTTGTTGCTAATATAAATAGAATTGTTTTCTTAATTTCATTTTTGGTTTGCTCATCGCTATATGGAAATACAGTTAATTTTTTTAGAAATTTATTTTTTAGAGAGAGGGGAAGGGAGGGAGAAAGAGAAAGGGAGAAACATCAATGTGTAGTTGCCTCTTCAGCGCCCCCTACTGGGGGCCTGGCGCACCACCCAGGCATGTGCCCTGACTGGGAGTTGAACTGGCGGCCCTTTGGTTTTGCAGGTCGGCACTCAATCCACTGAGCCACACCAGCCAGGGCAGAAATACAATTAATTTTATACATTAATCTTATCTCCTGCAACCTTGCTGAACTCATTTATGGTTCAAGTGTCATCTGAAAAGAGATAATTTACTTCTTTCTTTTCAATCTGGATGCTTTTTATTTCTTTTTCTCGAGTAGTTGCCCTGGCTAGAACCTCCAGTACAATACTGAATGAAAGTGGAAGCTTAGTCATTTTAAAATAAAGTCCTAGGTCCAAAAACATTTGTAAAGGTATTATAATCGTCAGTGATGTTGTAAAGGCCCACAGTCTATAAGCAGTGAATCTGAGATGCTGATAGATGTGAATGCTCATAATTTCTGTTTCTCTTGGAAAATGTAAGTCAAACATGGTCCTTTTTACTAAATTGTTGTCTCCTTCCAAATTGTTTTTTGCAGTGAAAATTTAGATCAATTGCAGAAATCTATAAAATCCATCTTTCTCTCCAATTCGGTGAGCAATATGCTTACAGAGTCTGGGGACAAATAAAACATGGTCTTTGTATGATAGATGAGTATAAACACCAGTCAGCGTCCCTGTTTCTCATGCCTCTAAAAGGCCTTTGCTGTTCATAACCATTCTGAATAATACAGAGGAACTTTGGTGCTTGGAGAGGCCATCCTCCCTCCTTTTATAAATGAAGAAGTAGTTCAGTGGAGGTAGAATCCTGGCCAAGGTCGCAGATGTCCTTCCCCAGGGTGCTGTGCATATCATAGGCCCTCAGTTCCTGCTTGCCGAGTGAGCTGGGCCTTGAGAGCTTCCCGTGGATTTGGGGCGAGAACTCCTGGGTTCCAGGGTCTCAGTGGTCACCTGGCTCTAAACCTCACGCTGGTGGATTCTGCCCCTGCTGTTCTCAAGGGGTGCGTGTAACAGCTGCGGCGCATCCAGCTGACAGCTGACCTTTTGGAGCCAGAGGGCTCTTAGAATCCTCCCGGCTCAACAGCTGGCCGTCTGTTCTGAACTGATCTGTTCTTGGCAGCTTTAGTCTCAGACGACAATCTTGTGTAGGGTTGCAGTGTGGGAAGGGGGCTTGGCAGGGCAAAGCAGTGTTTTACTAGCCTCCCCTTTAAATCACCTACCTAGAAGAGAATTCGTAGCAGGGAAAGAAGAAACATTGACTGTTCTGTACTTTTTCCTGCTCTCTTCTAAGCCCACTCCTCCTACCCCACACCCTTTGCAATGGTAAAGGATGAGTGTGTCTCCTTTACATGTGTGTTTCTTTTTTAATTTGTCAGAGGGAATGGAGGCCCAGAGAAGTTACTCGCCTCAAGTTAGCATGTTGGGGCGGGGGGTGGGGGCGCTGGTAGAGGAGGGGAGGCGCGGGCGCTGTCCGTGGTTTCACGGCCGTGTGAGTGTGCACCGTTTGTGCTGAAGAGTTCGCAGGGAGCTCTTCTGGGTCTAGAAATGAAATTCCAGTAAAGAATCACCCTAGTGCTTGGGATCCAGTGCTATGATTCTGTGATTTGCGGCTGGTGCTATCGTTATGACCGCTGGCTAATTAAAATGGCAAAGTACATTGAGAACCAGCTGCTAATAACTTTTTCTGCCATCATCACCTCCCCAGTAAAGACAAACCATCAGACTCTTCCTCAAAACTGGCTCCACCTCGGTCCTTTCTATTAATATAGCACAGAACATTTGGTTGGCATGCGGAAGCCTATGTAACGAAAGTGTGTTTTTAAAATAGGTAGTTTGAATTGTTTCAGTTACCTTTTAATTTGCTTAACTCTGCCTCTTGTCTCCTCCCTTCTCTTTGCCCATTTGGGACTCAGAAGAGCTTGAAGAGATTACGTTGTACAGTAGTTACAGCTGGGTTTGAATCAGGCTCTGCTACTTAGTGTCAGTGTGATCTTCAGTTGGTTCCCTAACTTCCCCGTGCCAGCGCATTACATGGAAAAATAATGGCTTATAACCTCATAGGAGTCTAGCAATGACTAAATGAGTTAATACATAGGAAGTGCTTAAAAGAGTATCTGGCATGTAGACTGTAGCCAGTACATCCTAACTGTTTATTGTTAAATGTAATCATCATAATAAAAATACTTTCACTACCACTGCAACTATTATAGCCTTACTCCAACTCCAACTTTTCTGGTCAAAGTTGAACCACCTCTAATTTAGCTTATTTTTAAAAGAATCGAAGGTAATTTGTCCATTACACATACCTTCCTGTCCTGTTAGTTGGGACAATAAGGGACAGTAGGAGAGTGAGGCCCGTTTGCAGGGCACCCCTCGCAGTCCTTTCCTGATCCCCCCTCATTGCGCGTCCTGAGAAGCCAGGGAAGTGCGCCCCACGCCCAGGCGATCGCAGCTCATGCAGAGTTGGAAAACCGACCACATTCTAATCTATTGAACTAGACTTAGAGGTTAATTTTAGCCAGCCTGGGGACATTATATAAAAGGGAAAAAAATCAGAAAACCCTCCTAGTTCCCTTCCAGATTTTTCAAGACTGATTCATGTGCAAAATCAGTAACACAAGTGTGGGCACAGAGAGAATAATTTTCATTCTTTTAGGATTTAGATGGGAAACAGCCAGGAACAGGTTGTCCCAAAAGGTATTTACTGTCCTAAGAGGGGAAGTGATGTTAATTTCTGTCTTGGGTTTTATTTTAATTTTTTCACTTCTGGGAAGTTCTTGGCTTCCAGAAACTATAGCTAGAATCCCTCACAGTATCTGGCACCGACAGGCAGTTAATCTGGGGCTAAGTAAGCGTGCAGTTAAGCAACTAAACAGCACTTCCTCCTGGGTCGGCCTTAATGCCTTGTTCCTTCCTCTCTCGATCTACAGGTATCTCCGATGAAGACATTATCAACATCACTCTTCCTACTGGCGTCCCCATTCTCCTGGAATTGGACGAGAATCTGCACACTGTCGGGCCTCACCGGTTCCTGGGTGACCAAGAGGCTATCCAAGCGGCCATTAAGAAAGTAGAGGATCAAGGGAAAGTGAAAAAGAGCTGAAAAATAGCCTTTCCCGAGTGCTAGATAGGAAGAGCTACACGAAGGAGTGGCATGCGGTGTGTTATAGGTGCTGATACCTCTTTGTCTGTCTCTCGCTCTCTCTCTCTCTCTCTTTTTCTCTCTTACTCTCTGACTTTTCCAGAGCTAGGCTGTGGGGTGAAGTTTGTATAGGTAACGAAGTAACTTAGGTTGGCCCAGCTGAAGACTTTAGGGTGCCTGAGTGGTTATGTCATAGCCTTATGGATTAGCTCTCCTGCTAACCCTGTTTGAATCAGTCACTAAAGTAGTAACCAGCTGGGGCTTAATCAAAGTCTTAAGTTTCTGAGTGGGAGAGGGATCGTGTAGGTGGAGTTTAATGTATTCACCATTTGGTAGATCATTATTGAGTTACACTGACAGGTATTACTTCTCCAATAAGTAGTTCGCTTTTATATTTACTAAGACTTTCTGGGATGATAGGAAAGGATATTAGGTAATACGCTATACTTAAGTATTTATTACTAGTCTTTTCCTCCAGGAAAAGGGATGTTTTGATAGGTAAGATGAGAGGCCCATAAAACGGGAAAGCCACAGATGGGTCCTCCAAGAGAGCCAGCAGTGAGCAGCAAGGCCCTTTGCCTTGTCTCCAGTCCAGAGACTCCTTTGTTTGACATTTGGTGGGATTCCTCTTTGGCAGCCAGAATTAGCAGCACATAGACAAATGTAGCTGTTTGTGTTCTCTTTTTAAAAGTTTTGTTTCTTGAAACTTAATCCTTGTGTTCCTAAAATTGGTTTAAGAATAAAGTTCTGTGACCAAAAATGGTAGCCCCAAGTATCTCGATATGATTCATAAATATTAGATAAAGGCCCGAACTGGTCTTCTGCTCATGTCTTTCTCTGCATCTTTTTTCAACATGTAGGCACTCCTAATTCTCTATAAATTGAAGGGTGGTGTCAGGGAGAAGTTATAATGTGGTGGGTATAATTTTATTCACACAAGCAGGGAATATGATATACTGGAGCTTGACACATATATTTGTTCATCTGCTGAGGGCTAAGAGTAGCCAACGTACGCCAAGGACAGACTTGATGGTTTATCAATCTTAATGATACTGTTTTCCATAGTATATATTTTTAGAAATTTTAGGTATGTAAGTCATATCTTTAAACTATTGCCTTATTTCAAAGCCAGTAACATACATTTCAAGGATAAAGTCATGTAAAACATTTGCAGCTGTAATAGCTGTTAGAGATATTTACCATTTTTTTATGGCTTTCCATTGGTGGATTACCTTATTTGTATCCATGTTATAGTAAAACTGGCATAGAAGAAAACTAATTCCACAACCCTTGTCACTGCTTGGTCTCCTTAAATCAAGACTCAGGGCATTGGCTGATGAAGGTTGGCTGAAAAAAAACAAACAAACCAAAAGAGATGCACCTGGCTCGCTCACAGCTAGCCACGTCTGTCATGCATAAGAACATGAAATGTGCATGCTTTAAGTTTCTGGCCAACTACGGGCCTCTCTACTCTAGTCCTTTTTAGTCCAGCTGCTCAATCAAATGAAACTGTTTAGAATTCAGAGGTCAGAATCAACTACCAACTACCAGATATTCCTGCAATTCCAAAGTTAAGCTGCAGCTCACACCATTTTTGAACAGCTTCACCTCTGGAATTGGCCTCTGAATTTTCCAGCCCAAGTGTGACCATGTCTTAATGCAGCTCAAGATCCTAGAGTTGGATTCTCCCTTGTTCTGTATCTAGATGTCCACTTCCAGCACCGCCACTCCCTCCCCCAGACAACTCTCGGTAACATGATGTGCTTCTGCACATAAAGCTGTACTCACACCCCATTGCTTCGGAGTCTTGCAGACTTTCTCAGGTAGGGATAATTCTGGATGCTTTCTGATACAATTTGTTTTTATTGTTTTTGAGATTTTGGCCGAAATAAATGAAGATACATTCATGAAAACACATAAAATTATTTTTAACAACTCCAGCATCTCAACCTTAGATCACCGAGCGGACCAGTTTTCTTTGCATAGCTTACAAGATATTCACAATCTTTGATGTAGGAATCTGGAAGGTTGCCTAACCTGCATCCTGACTTGGCATCCAAATGTTCTATGTCAAGCTGGGACCAAAAAAAGAAAGGAGGGGTGGATTTTAAATTTTATTTTAACTACGTGGTAGACAGTTTATCTAGAAATTTGGTCCTTGGAGAGGGCAGCCCAACGTGTTGCCTGGGTGGGCTTGCCCTGGAGCCAGCTATACGTGTCCCCTCTGTGCAGGCGGAAATGACTGTCCCAGGGTGGCAAGGTGAGGGCAGTAGCAAGATGCTACTCCTAGAGTTTTAGTACGCTGAGAATTCTACAGCAGCAGTAGTTCTGCTTCAGAAAATGGAGGTTCATGCATCGTTTAACTTGAGCTCTGAACTAACAAAGCGTCCTTGGTTAGAATGAGTTATGCATTATGTCACTTATTTTTCCTTAATAAGATGTGCAAGGAAGGTTTTTAAAATGTGATCTGGCTATTGCCAGGCTCAATCAGATTGTTTCGCAGATGATTTCTGATCTTGGACTATGACCATTGTATTAGAATGCAGTTATTACATGTGCACATCAATGACAATGGTCGTCTTCTAGCCTGGGACTCTTCCATGTGCTCTATAGCTTAGGGGGCTGAAAGGCTCTTTTTGATCATTGTGTGAGCCTGTTAAAGGCAATACCCATTGGGCAACAGTTGACCAACTTGGTGGCTAAAGCAAAAATCTTCCTGGTCATATTGCCACCCCCAGGAAAGGGAGAAGTTAGAGGTCAAGTACCTTCCTCCACTTTCCATTGTGTATATAGTTCTTTATTTTCCCAGCTCCTTTCTGTTTTTAACAAAATGGGGTAGGGGAAACAGCTTAACTAGGCAAAGGTTTCATTACCCCCAGGGCCATTTCTAGTTCATTCTTAGCCTTTTACAAGTGATAAGATTCTTTTCAAAGTTCAACCTTCCCTCTTACCTAGAAAGCCTTTCAAAGGTTCTTCCCTCAGAAATACAACAAAATTATTTCAGGTCTTGATCATGTTTCCTGTGTTTGTGTTTTGCATAATTGTATTTTGCAAGTTTTTGGCTCACTTTTGTAACACCATTCGTGGCACTAAACCAGGCCTTGCCTGACAGCAGACCTGGCTGGGCAGACACCACATTATGCTGTAGCCTAAGGTTTTCACATTGGACTATGAGGGGAATTTAAACCACTGATCCCAAGGGAATAGGAAACATCCAAAATTTAAGAATATTGTAATCATTCAGTCTCCCTCTAATGACAAAGTTATTTGGCAAAATAATAGGCAGGATTAAAGCCACTCTGTCCACAATAAATTTTTATTTATTGGAGGATAATCTAGCTACTATAGGTTGGTGTTAAGATTTTGGGACCTTAAATTCCTTTGACAGTATTTTAAAGGTAAACTCTCTCGTCACGCCCTTCTCCCCACCCTGCTGGGTTATTTTGAAACAAATGCCAAACGTCAAACGGCATAGATTTTGAAAAGGAATAACATAGGCTTTGATAAGCCAAAATGGAAACCATTAGTCTTCTGCCCCAAACGTAGTACTGTAGAGGAACCAACACTCAGCCCTTACTAAGTTGTCCAGTTTGAATCTTGACTTGGATATAGTCTGTTGTCTCTGGTCGCTGTTGGTCTGTTATGTGTGACTTCTGCACGATAATGTGGGATGATTTGGAAATTAAACAAGGACCCTGTCTTGTTGGTTTTGAAGTGGAGATATTTGTATGAACATGTGTGTAGGTGTATGTATTTTCCTCTTTCTTCCCAATTTCACTCCTTCCTTCCCCACTCCCAGACCTGGTTCTGTCCCCTGAAAAGTCCTGGAAGCAATACCTAGTACTTAGGAGCAAACCTAGTTCCTTTGACCTTGCTTTCTCTATACTGTATCACATAAACAGAGTTGTTGGTTGATTCCAGGTTTGGTGCAGATAGAGTATAGGTGAGCCTGGAACACCTTGAATCAGAAAAGAAGAAAATGCCCAAAGACTGATGATGAGACACAAAAATTGGCTTCAAGTCCAAATTTGGGAGACTTTGAGATTAAAGAAAAGAATGATGGTCATGGATAATAGAACATTTGTCTTAGTCTGCTCAGGCTCCTATAACGAGATACCACGGACTAGGTGGCTTAAACTATAAACATTTATTTCTCACAGTTCTGGAGACTGGCAAGTCCAAGATCAAGGTGCTGGCAGGTTTGATGCCTGAGGAAGGCCCTCTTTCTGACACCTTATTGCTGTATCCTCACCCAGTGGAGAAAGAGAGGGGACTCTGGTTTCCTTCTCTCACAGGAGCACTGATCTCATCCTGGGGAATCCAACCTCATTGATCTTAATCTAATCTTAATTACCTCCCATAGGCCCCACCTCTGAATTCCATCACATCAGGGATTAAGGCTTTAACATTTGCACCTTAATTAGACATTTTAATTAAAAGTTGTGAAGGACATTTGGGGGCTGAAGAATTTAAAGGTGAGGTATCATGATGTCTGCAAATCACATTCCAGTGGTTTGGCCAACACAATTTCCCTATGTAGAGACAGCAAATATAGTAAATGTTATAACCGATGAATTGAGAAAAGAATTTATACTGTAATATTGTATTATTCCAGCTTTTCTGTAGGCTTGAAATTTTTCAAAATAAAATCAGAAAAAATAATGACAGGAACTAAAAAATGACTAAAACAAACTTGCATTGAGTATAGTCACCCAAACTTGCCTTGTTATGTGCAGCATGTGGATAAAGATGAGTGGTTTCTATACTTTTTATCCTTTTTGAAATCTCAGCCCCTGTTAGGTAAGGGAAGAACTTTTAAGTCTGTGTTATATTTGTCAAGAGGCAAGTTGTACACTCATTTTATTTATACTACGTTTGGGGCTACAGATACACATCAGACCAACAATTAGCTTGTCTGCTGGTTCAACAAATCATAAACAGGATTATGATCACCATTGACCTGTAGTTGAATAAATAGTGCCATACCATGGTATTCCTTCTTCATGCCACCATTTGTCTTTTAAACTCTACTTAATCTCTGGGTCTCTGACTCCTGGAGTTTCAGGTCTGTGCAGCAGCCACCTCACAAACATCGCCTGTGTCATTCTGCCCGTGTCATAGCCCAGCCTGTATCCATGGTTTCTATTGCTTCTCCATAGGCTTTCTACTAGGAATGCTGAGGGTTAATGGTCTGAAATGAAAGCTGCTAGTTGCTTAAAACGAGTCAAATGAATTCTGTTGGCATTAAAGGTTTGCCTTTATTGTCCGTGGTTGGCTACTTAAGTCTCTTCTCACTTTAAAAACAAGTTCCGTGAAAAAGATCCTGTTTTTGTGAAGGAAGCTCTACCTTTTCAAAACAGCTTGATTGCGCAACCTGTTCATTTACTTCTCTGCAAAGCTAAGCTTTCTAAAAACTTCAGCGTAGCCCCAGATGCGACTGGGGCATGTCCCTAAAGAGTCAGCGCCTAGTTTCCCATCTACAGAAAATAGATGCCGCCCGACAGCAACTGCAGCAACTGTCGGCCAAGATGTGATACGGTTACTTTCTCACGATGCAGCAACTCCAACTAAAGGGGTTATTTTGCTTCAAGGAGAGTTAACTTACAAATTTCTCATGAATTTGCTCTAGCCACACAGCTGTTGAAAAGGGGATATTTGCCAACCACACTGCCCTGAATCCTGGAGAGGGTACTTATTTGATGTAATGTTGACTTAAGTGGGAATTGGAGCTGGAGTTTGCGTTCGTCAAACTTATTGCAA